TATGTTATGCAAATTGAGCTTGATGTCCCCTGTGACTGTGGGTTAGATCTTAATCTTAGGATTGCATATACTCATTGATATAGGAGTATTGCTGTTTCTAGGTCTATCAGTGAAAAGATCTAGAAAATACATGTGTATATACTAACTAGCTCATCTTTATTTCCATATAATTATTTGAAAAACAGAACTATGAGTTCATACCTCAGACCCCAGTTTAACACCTCTGGGTTTACTGTGTCACCTTTTCCCTTTCCTTATTTGTAGCATTTCTTTGGCTGTAATCATCTGGCTCACGTAATCTGTAATATTTACTTATTGGTCAAACAAGTAAAGTAATATTAGAATTACTGCCCTAGTTCTGAGAAGCAGATGTGCCAACTAAAATACAGGGTTTGTGTACTGTTCTTTTTGTCATTAGCCTTACAATTTCTAGTTAAAACACTGTTTTTCAAAGTTACTTAGATCCTTCCCACTCTGTTCATTCATTATGGTTACATAACTAATTTTTAATATAGTTAAATTCATTTGTTACAGTCTGTATTGTATCTTGTGTTCTCCCAAGGTCCTAGTTGATTTTTTTTTTAATCTTACATTCAGTAAGATTCAGTCTTTGTAGTATACAGTTATTTTTATGGGTCTTGACAAATGTCCAGTGATACTTTCACAATACGGTTTCATACAGAATAGTTCTATCACCCTCAAATTCCGTTCTGTTATCCTTTGTTATCAAACCCTTCCAACCTTATCCCTGGCAACTACTGATCTGTTTTCTGTCTCTATAGTTTTGTCTTTCCTAGAATGTCACATAAATGGGTATGTAGTCTTTTGCATTTGGCTTCTTTCACTTAGGAAAATGTATTTAAGATTCATCCTAATTGTGTGAATCCGTAGTCTGGTCCTTTTTATTGCTGAGTTGTCTGCTAATTTCTGTGTCTCCTACAGCTTGTTTAACAATTAACATCTGGGTTGTTTCCAGTTTGGGCAATTAGGAATAAAGTTCTATAAACATTCATATGTAGGTTTTCATATGAATACAAGTTTTCTTGTTTATTGGATAAATATCTAAGGTGGGATTGATGAGTTATATAGTAGGTATATGCTTAACTTTATAAAAACTGCAAAGCTGTTTTGCAAGGTAATTATATCGTTTTGCATTCCTACCAGCAATGTAAAGTAAAACCTGCAAAAGCCAGAACCAGCGTATGGCAAAAACCTGTTAGAGAAGGAGAATTCAAATATTTTCCACCAAATAGTGATAGAAAAATAATGACTATACCCTATCAAAGGCAGAAAACTTGTGAGACCTAGAAAAACAAAGCAGTCCCAAGTTCTAGGTCTCAAAATTTTCACTGTATAAGAGTTCTAGTTGTATCCTTATTAGCACTTAGTATTGTCAGATTTTTAAAACAAATTTTAGCCATTTTTATATATGGATAAATAATAGTCCATTGTATGGATATACAAGGCTTATTTAGGAACAGGGTATAACTCGGGATCAGAATCAACAGGTTACAACTCAGAATTAGGATTAGGAAGCTTGTAGGGAGTCTCCCTTGTTCAGTGTAGGACACCTCTCTCAGCTCCTTTCAGTCCCCCAAGGACAGATTTCTGTCAGCATCCTCAAGACAAGGTTCTCTTGTTCCTGTTGACTGTTACTTCCTCTTCTGCCACTGGGCCCCTTCCAGGACTCTCTCTGTTTTCAATGTTCAGCCCTTGACCAGCATTACAGCTCTTTTAGTGTATTTCTTGACTTCTTGCTCTCTCTCTACCTCTTCTGTTTTCTTGCTTCTGCTTCTTTATGGTGCTTCTCTTCTTGTCTCTTTCTGTCTACCCAACACCAAAAGGGCTGGCTGTATATATATTTATATGCTGTGAAGTCTGATCTGACTCATATCAACACCTCCTTGGGTTTCCAAGGCGGTATCACCACGGAAGTAGATTGCCCAACCTTCCTTCCAAGGAGTGGCGGGGGGGTTTGAACCGCCAGCCTTCTGGTTAGCAGTCAAATGCCTTAGGCACTATGCCACCAGAGCTCCCATACACACACACACACACACACATATACAACTCCTGTCAATTTTAAGGCACAGTCCCTCCCAGGATGGCCACAAACTGATTAATCCCCTCTCGATAGGCCACAGACATTTCATTTGTGTAGTAGGTACAGCTGGGCTACAACTCACCTCATTTACTTAGTCTATTGACCAATCTCTGCAAGATGAATACAGGGCAGGCTGCAGCCCAGGAGCAGCCAAAAAGGATCAAGCCAAGTTACTTATAGTTTGCCTTGTACAAAAGTTACAAACCCTCTGGGGTAGAAAACTAGGGCAAAGGAAACTCCTCAGAGCTCAAGGAAAAAAAATCTCTTAAGCTGTTTTTCCAAAGAAGCAAAACAAAAGGCAACATTAAGGAACCCATTTCACCACACTGGGTTGTATGGCAATTTTATGGTAAACTTTCTTAAGAAATTGCCAAATTATTTTCTACTGTGGTTGCACCATTTTCCATTTCCACCAGCAATGCACAAAGGTTCTAATTTCTCTATATTCTTGTCAGCACTTACTATTTTCTGTTTTTCTATTAATAATCACCCTAGTGGTCGTGAGGTGCTATCTCAGTTCTTTTGATTTGCATTTCCCTAATGGTTAATGAGGAGCTCTGGTAGCATAGTGCCTAAGGCACTTGACTGCTAACCAGAAGGCTGGC